TAACTTGAAGCCTTTTGAAAATGATGATGTTCTATATCAGAAAAGTTATTTTGAAATTAAAAAATATACAGAGTTAACTGTAGTTCAGTTTTTCCCTTTCAAGTAAAGTCCTTTAGGTTATGTATCAAGGGATTACATTTCCTGCAGGTTAGGGAAATAGGAAAAAAAGCAAAGATGCATTTTGTATATATTTAACTTTGTGAAATTGCATTTCTCTTTGCCTCTTGAAAACAATTAGACACAGGCCTGGAGACAAAGCATGGGGGTGGACCTGACTGTGCCAATGGAAGAGATTTCAGAAATGCTGGAGAACTAAGACTCTTGTGCTTTTAAATAATTCGACAGCATACAAGGAATAGAAGGCCAATGCAATCATTATTCCCACACTAAAAGAATTTCAGTCACTAATACTTACATGAAATCCTTCATACTCCATTGAATCTTTGGAAAAAAAATTGTTTTTAGACAATGCCTAGCTAGACTGTAATATTTCAGGAGGAGCCATCGGGAATCTATGATACTTGGTTTCTATGAATACCAAGAGAAATCTTTCCACTGTTCATCCAAAGGAGAAGGTTCTCTAAAGTCAAATATAGTATACTGATACATAAATGAAAAGAAATAGTATATATGGGAGCATATGAGGATGCCATTTGGTTTAAAACTAATTCAGTCTGACCTCGTTTTTCCTAAAGGGGCTGACTTGGCCTGTTGAGCATGCATCGTGCATCTGCTTTAAATATTTACTATGTCCCAAAGACAGGAATGATGCCCTTAAGATGGGGATGTAACTTCCCCAGACACGGGCATTTCTTTAAGGATAAGTTCTCTTCTCGGGAACTGATTAATAACAGACCTGTTGTGCTCACCTTGTTACCACTGACCTGCTGACCACTGATTGGCTGTGCCAGCTAGGCATCTTGTGACAGTTGTAAAAGGGACATTCCTATCATGTGATGTATGCTCTTCGTTCCAAGATGGTATATAACCACTCCATACACTTCTTTGGTGCCCTTCCTTCCTTGGGGAAGGCAGGCCCCGGGCTATAGTTCTCAAACCTGGCTCATCATAAACTCACCCCAATTTTGAATTATAGAATGATTATGGATTATTTGCTTTGACATTTCGAACAAATGCAACCTACTCCGTTGTTCTGCTGGCCTCCTGAAAGAACAAATGTAGTGAGCCAAATGGCCTTAAACTGTAGTGTTGCTGAGCCGCTCTGTGTCTCTGCTCTCCTGTTGTCACGCCAGGAAAGCTGGATGGAGAGGTATTTGGAATGATCACTGACCCTGAACTCACATGTCAGGGCCTCGGTGAAAAATTCATGAAAAGCTCTCTTACTCTTTCTTAGGAGTTATATATGGGTAAGTCTCTGCCGCCTCTCCTCTGAGATAAAGGAACAGACAGTAGGCAAGGAAAAGAAATAGATGTGGTTTGTCGCCTCTACGAGCCCCAGCAGTTACTTGCCAGGCGTGGTTAGTACTGGAGAGGGCAGGAAAGTCACCCCAGGAGTTTTCGATAAAGTTGTCCTCCAAAAGAAAATCAGGAAGATTCAAAAAGTAATAGATGCAATTAGTTATCTGTAGAAACGGCATACCCTGAGGAATAGCCAAAAAAGATTATGTGGAGAAATTTAGAAACACCCTGAGGAATTTGACAATAGCAGAAGCTTGATTGTATCTGCATATTTCCAGCAACAATCTAATCAAAGTAAATGGATGAAGCTGTAACACAATCAAGCAGTAACTTAATCAGTTAGAGTGAAGAGATTAAGTTCTCTAATCACCATCAATTGTCTTGTAACCCACCTGAAGACAGAATGTGCTAACTGAAGGTGGGGGCGTCTGCAAGGAAATGGGGAGGCCCTGAAGCCAGATTGGTCCAGCTCCCTCTAGCATGGGAAGTGCGGCCTCTGCATCTATTTAGAACATAGGGCTGTTTCCATAGTAATTCGGATTTCAAAGGCTTTATTCACATGTAGATTTGCCTACAGGGAGAGAGCAGCTTATCATCAAAGCAGCAGTCCTTATCAGTGTCGAGGCCAAAGGCACGCATTTTTAGCATTATAATAACAGCCAAAGAGCAGTCAGCAAAAATAATAAAGTAATAGAATAATAGTAACTCAATAACCATTTATGGAATGCCTGCTGGATTCAAGCCACTGCCCTAGGAGCCGGGCATTCAGTGTTGACTAGGAGAAAACCCATGCCCGCAGGGAGCATTCATTTTAGAAAGGACGACAGATACGAAACAACTAATTATACAATAAATTATTTTGTTGCAATGGTGATTCTTTCTAGGAAGAAAATATACTGTATTTACTTGAAAAGAACAAAAGTCACAGAGGCCCCAGAACTGACCTGAAGTTTAGAGAAAGCTTTTACTAGGATCTCCTTGGTCGATTCATGTACCTCTTATAAAGGGTAAAGAGATGGAGAAAGACAAAAATTAATATAGGTGGAGGGAGTAAAATGAGGCTAATACTGTGAATAAAGTGGGTGGCAATAAGTAGCTCAAAATGATCTGTGACAAAACAATTATCCACATAGAGACTATTTAGAAAGACTATTGCTAATGTTCCTCTAAGAGTGGCACCAGGAGAGGCTTACATAGTAATCCACATTCCAAAGATGATGTACTATTCAGAAATGGGCTACTTCCGATATTTTTACAGCAGGTAACTGCTTTGAAGATTTTCCACTCCCAGAGTTAACCATGGATCAAAATTATCTAAATTCGCTCCGGAAAGAAAATGAGAGTGCTGGAAACGTGTCGTGGTCGCAGCCCCATTGCAAAGCACTGGACAATCAGCTACAGCAGAGAAGACCAATCTGGGCACACAAGACCGTGAAAAGGCATAAAGGTAGAATGATTGCAAAGTGATGCTGAAATAGAGCATTTCCTGTAATTTCCTATCCGAGGCAAAGAAGCGTTATTGAAAAGTTTTAGCTCAACCCCGCACATGCTCTAAGTGGGTCTCAAGGGCACTCAGGCAGAAGCTGCCTTTCCCAGGAACCTGTGAGGAGTGCAGCGCCACATAAAATACGCAATGCTAAAACACCGCACTGTGTAAGATTTAAGGCAGGTGCCGGCATAGGTGAGCTCCCCAGTCACAGATCCTAACAGAAAGGGAGCAGGAGCAGATGAAGCATCAAATAAGCGAATTGAAAAACTGTACCTCCTTGCAAAAATACAGATAAAATATTTCGGAAAGAAGCTCCAACGATTGTAAAGAAAACCAATTTAATGACTGTGGCCCGGATTATAAGGCGTTAAGCATTGATTTTTTAAAAATGTATTCCTTAAGCTTTTATGGAGCAGTTATTTGTTTGGGGTGTTACCCCAAATGTTGGGGGGGGGGTTACCAAATACTGCCTTTGGAAGTTTACAGTTTCACACATGCAAGATTTGGTAGCAAAGCTATTCAGTAGAAAGATCAACACACAAAAACCAGAGAGGATGGAAGGAAGGGAGGGAGGGAGGAAAGGAGGAAGGAGAAAGGGAGGAAGGAGGAAAATTCGAACGTACTGTGTACAAACAAAAGGGTCAAATTCTTTCCCTGGGTCTCCAGCTTCTGAAATCATAACTGAGTGAAACGTTGTTTTCCTCTTAGTTCCCATCCCCTGTGAGTGGTTCAGTTGACATGCAAGACAGGATGTTTCACACGCTGAGATGAGTGCTGCTGGTTTTGTTTTCCTCTGAAAGTCTACTGGGGAGTTTGAATCAAGGAGTCTTCATGAGAGTGAACATGTATGAAAGTAAGAGTATCTCATTTTATTTTACTATTTTTTTTAAGATTGGCACCTGTGCTAACATCTGTTGCCATTTTTTTTCCTTCTTCTTCTTCCCCCCAAAACCCCCCAGGACATAGTTGTATATTCTAGTTGTAGGTCCTTCTGGTTGTGCTATGTGGGACGCCACCTCAGCATGGCCTGATGAGCGATACCATGTCCATACCCAGGATCCAAACCAGTGAAACCCTGGGCCGTCGATGCTGAGTGCACAAACTTAGCCACTTGGCCATGGGTTGGCCCCAAGAGAATCTCATTTTAAACAATTGTGTAGTGAAGCAACCACTGACCCAAGAGACGGAAGGCAGAATGAAAGCACGTTTAAAAGTGATGGAGAGGAAGCATAGCAGCCAGCAAGGGCAGGACGGACTGATTTCAAAAGACACAAGAAGAGAGAACAATGGAAGGTAATCTGCAAAGAGACTGGCATGATTAAATTATTTAATTATGAAAATAATTAGTATTAAAAATCCGTTCAAAATCAAAATATTTTAGACTTGGAAAAGAGTTTTAGAAATCTTTAAGACAACCTCCTTGTTTTATGGCTGAAGACTCAGAGATCCAAGAGAAGTTCCGTATCTTGGCAGAGTTACACATTATTTAGTGGCAATTATTATTATGATTTAGTGGCAGGGCTGGAATTAGAAACCAGGTCAGCCGCCTCCCAGTCCATTCATTGCTCTTTTCTCAACCGCACATTCGCATTCCATTTCAAATTAATTTACCTACTATCACAACACATTTAAAAAGAAGAGAGAAGTATGGCATGCTCATTCCAGTACAGTAGATTAAAATGTTTTCTAAAACACATGCAAATACTCTGCTCCAGAACGGTGGTTCGCCAACTTGAGCGTGCAGAAGGCTCACCTGGAGGCCGTGCTACAGCAAAATCGGGGGCCTTAACCCTGGAGGGTCTACCAAGCCCTAAAGTGATGCTGATGTTGCCGGTCCCCATTTTTATGAGCACCTTTCCTAGCACTGCTCTAGGAAATGCAGTTATAGTAAGCTCACTCTTGGAAATTTGAGCGAGAGCAATTAATAATTTGCAGTGAATGAACAACCTGAGAATAATTACCACTAGCAGAGCTGGTTGATTGGAGCTCCCGTTATCTTTCACAGGCAAAAGCCAATAGCCTCTTTCTATGCCAAATAGTCTTTAACAACTCTTCTCTTTGCCTACAGCCTCCTCCTAAACTCCAGCCTTACCTCCTAGGTAGGCTTCTAGGTCTCCTTCTGGGTGCCAGGGAACTTCTTTTTCTGGATTTCTCTGTGCACCTGTGCCTCTCCACCATGGCTCTTGTCACATTGAACTGTAACTCCATTGTTGCTCTGAATGCTTATTTCTCCACAAACCTTAAGCTCCTTGGGGCACACTGTTCTTCATCTATACTTTCAGCCGAGCACAGCAACAGGCATGTAAATATTTGTTGAGTGAATGCTTATGAAAATGAGGATAACTAGAGAGAAAACAAATATAAAATACGTGTAATAGAACTAATTCTCTGTGAGAGAAATTCATGCTTCTTAACCTTATGTTTATTACCCTTTATCATCTATCTATCTATCTATCTATCTACCTACCTATCTATCTATCTATCTATCTATCCGTTTTATCCTTGGCAAGTCTACAAATAAAATGAAAACTAGCTTCTGTCAAAAAACAATAAACGTGCTAAATGTAATTTCACGTAAAATCTTTAACGCAAGTATTCACAAAGTACCACTCAAAAGCTGAGCACTGTTGATGACAACACATGCATTTGATGCTGAAGCATCTCCTGTAGGGGTTTAGTTCCCAGAATTTTACAATGGGAAGGAAGCTTTGACAGAACTTGAGGTCCCTCGTAACCATATCCACCGTTGAAGGAGGGTGCTCACTGAATTTATTGGATAACATCCCTAAGGCAGGACCTAAGCACCTCACAGTGTACCTAATTCAGTTCTAAGAACTCTAATTTTTGGAGTTTTGTCCTTTTTATTAAACCTATGTTTCTTAATTCTGTTTTTCTGGGCCTGTATGAAATAAACATAATTGTTTTTCATATCAGTCCCTCAGATTTCTAAAGAGAGTTATCATGTTCTGTCCAGCATATTTTCTTTAGTAAAAAAGGGGATAGAAAAAAAGGAAACCACATTTTTTAAGAAATACAAATCAAGTAACATTTATTAATTTAAATGCAACTATATAGTTACTGTATATATCACTCAGATATTTGAACATAATCTCGTTCAGAAGGGATATATGGGAATGTGTAAATCAAATTTGAACTAAAAATACAAACAAGTATGAAGGACACATACTCATTAAAAGATTCTTAATAATTGATTTCTGTATTATCCTATTCAATTTCCAATTTTACAAGAGCTTTTTGGTCACTGGTAATATCCTTGTTTCCATAGTTTTCACTCATGGAACTATACCCATGTGAGCATTAGGAGTATTATCAGAAGAAAATTTAAAATGGCAATATGCCCTCAAACGTTAGAATATGTCCCAAATTTTGTTTCATGATGACATTCCCACCCAGTTCAAGACATAGCTGATAAACCTCCCTTCCACTTGAAGTCTCCATGCCTGATAAAAAATGGAATACTTGAGTTTATGCAGCTGTTCATGAGCTAATTATCTGCAATCATTTCTGATTACTTAATAGGCCATGGTAGGATGTGTATTTGCTGCGACGTTGAGTTTACACTTCGACTTTAATGTGCTGATATGGTTAATTGTTGTGCTCGCTGCTGCCTGCTAATAGACCATTCCTGAAAATGAGACCATATCTCAACAGAATTTGCTTGTTTATTTTAAATAAGTAATAACTACAAACTCAGATCCTACATCCAGTGTTTACCATTTTAAGAATGCACTTTTTAATACTGTATCATTTCTAATGCATTTAAATTATTCAAGTTTGGAGAAAATGAGTTATTAAACTAATGAGTCAATAACCAACTCAAATACTTAGATTTAACATTTTTCCTGCTCTGTTCAGTTTCCTAAATTGTTTTCTGCCATTGACAGCAAAATAAATTCTTTAAAAATGCTGCCAAAGACGCTGAATGTAATAACATAATAATGAGAAAAATTTATGTATATTAAAAGGAGACACGTATTTATTAATATGTAAACCAAGATGCCAACACTGGCAATTGGGAGTGACACAGAGATATTAACATGGAAGGTGGATATGGAATTGTTGTAATGAGACTGCTAATTCGCTTTGCAGTTTTGCATTTTATGGTAGCATCTTGTCCAAAAAGCTAGTATGTACTTTAAAAAATTTAGAAGACGGTTCTTTCGTTGACTATTCGTATATCTGTGTTTCCAATTGCCAAAAATGGAGGCAAAGTGTCTGGATAGATGTTTTAGGCATTTGTCTTCTTCTTTGTCTTTCTGTTCACAAGGCCTTTTTCTTTTTTCTATCATCACTTTTTCACTTTTCATCTCTTGTAAACTGCCTGTCTTTATCTGCTCTCTCTATTCTTTTACTAGAGACGCAAGTAGGATTCAAAGAAGAACTAGGAAGTATTTCAACCCCAAACTCCTTGGCTTTCATTCTGCAGCTTCCAAGAACAATAGGGTTCTTCCCCAGGCCTTGCTCTGCCTTTCTGAGCACTGGGCTTAAAACAGATTTCAATGAATGGGACCCGTGGACTGCTTGGGGCCATCACTCTGGGTGGAACTGTGCGAGTCCAAGACCTGCTTTCCCGGAAACACTATGAGTGTTATAACCACCAGGGACTGTGCTAAGCCCTTTAAAAGGAAATAGTCCTTTATCCTCAAGACAGTGCTGTGAGATGGTACCATCATTATCACCATCCAACCAACAAAGTAACTAAGCCTTGGCATCCAGTAGCCAGAGCTGAATAAAACATCATGTTCAAGGTCTCATGGTCCAGGTCAAGGTAAAGGGAGAGCAGGTCTTTGAACTAGCAGTCTGACTTCAGAACTCAGTCTTATTCCAGAATCTGAGTAATTAAACACTATGCACACTGTCTCCCATAACACTGGCAGAATAGATTCCTTTTCTCATTTGTTCAAAAGCTCCTTTGTTTTCATCATTGATGTAGCACAAGCCCCAGTGAGCATTGGCTTGCTTCTCTGCCCATGGGCTCCTTAAGGTGAGAGAGAAACTTATTTATTTTTATATCCTCAGACAAAGAGCTGGCCCATCTTAGGAACTCCATTTGTAGTAGCGAAATGGGATTAGTTCTTCCTTTACAGAATTTTCTTCCTGTATTTTCCTACACATGCCCTACGATGGAGCCAAACAGGACTATTTGCTATTGCCCACACATTCCCTGGGCTGATGCTCTTAGACACCTTTGCTTACACCGCACCTACTGCCTGAAATGCCCTTCTACATAAGCAGATCTTCAAAAAGGGGAAGTTCCCACTGTGCTCTCTTTCCCGAAGCTCCTCTAGCTCATGAATCAGATATGAGCTCCCCTTCCCTGTTCCCTTCCACACTTTGCTTATAAGGCTATTATCCCTTCTCATTTTCTACCTCATTTATGTATTGGCAAGATCTTCTTTAAAATACCTATCACTGAATTTTTCACATAGTAGGTGCTGAAGAGAGAGTAATTAAAAACTAAGAAGTTATTTAAAGCCGTTGACTTGGTTTCCTGTAAAATGAAGAGGTTAAACCCGTGGGCATTGTGAAGAGTACTTACATTTTTTTTCTCTCTCTATGTTATGAATTACGGTGTAGCAGTAAGGCAGCATTCTTTTTCCACTGTGTAGCTTGATGAGCAGTGCTAGGTCTGCTCCCAGGATCCGAACCTGCGAACCCTGGGCCGGTGAAGTGGGTGCGTGAACTCAACCACTATGCCACCAGGCTGGCCTCTAAAAAACAAATTTTTTTTAATTGGAAGCTAAATAAATAAAAGCAATGGAAAACAACAGAAATTTAAAATAAATTTATAGAAATTTTAACATGACAAATTTTAGAGAAAAAATTACCATGATCTTATCATCATTTGTATTTATTTTCATTTGTATGTCAGATATTTGTAAATGTTAAAGCTATGTGACTCTGAGGACAGTCACTTTCCTTTAGTACATGGACAGGAGAATGGCTTATGCAAAGTGTGGGCTTTAGTGCTATGCGAACTTCATTCAAACCATAGCCTGTGTACACACACATTTCTTACTTAACCTACATCAAGCCAGGTTTCCTAAACCGAAAAATTAGAAACAGCAACAACAATAATAAAGCCTACTTCATAGGCGGTCAAGAGGATTAAATGAAATAATCTATGAAAAGTGACAGCAGCTGTCACAAAGTAACAGTGGCTTTTAAGATCCTCATCTTTCTCATTTTTTTACCTTCTATCTTATTCTCAGTTTTCCTATCCTCATCATGAAAACCCTTTATATTCATATGCTATTGATTTGAAATACCAGGAAATGGGCAGATAAACTCCACAAAGATGAATAGCAACAGACCACAGAGCATCTTCGAAAAGTTCAGCACAATGATGCACAGATGCAGGCTCTGAAAGTTGATAGTCCTGGTCCTCCTGCTGTGGGAATCAATGTCGTTGATGTGGGACAATAACAATAGCTGCCTCCCTCCAGCCGGTGGCATAAAGAGACACAGGCACAGAGGCTTCTGTCCATACTCACCTGCAAAAGGTGGCCTGGGAGCACCAGGCAGCCCAGGGAATCACCTTCCATGCCTGCAAGACAGCACCAGAGGGATTGATGAGGACCCCCAGGAAGACCAGAATGAAGCAGACCAGAATGCATTGCAAGGGCTCTGAAAACCAAACTGTCATTGGGACCAAAGCCCACAGTGTAAGTCAGAACCTACACACTCAACCTAAACAGATGACAACATGAGAAGACAGAAGATTTAAATAGGACCTAGAGTCTCCTAACATAATAACCACACATCCAGGATACAACCAAAACTCACCTGTCATGCCCAAAGCAGGAAAGGCACAACACGAAGGAGAAAAGACATTCAACTCACAACAATACTGAGATAAATTAGATATTTAGAATTACCGACAAGGATTTTAATGTGGTCATGTTTTCAGAATCGATTCTACATTTTCTGGAAACCAATGAAAAAAATGGCAAATCTCAGCAAAGAAACAGAAGTTATAAAAAAGAATGAGGTGGAAACGACAGGGCTAAAAAACACAAGCATCGAAAAAAAAAACTGGCTGGATGGTCTCAATAGCAGAGTGACCATGAAAGAGAATAGAGTCAGTGAACCTGAAGACAGATCAATAACATTTACTCAGTTTGAACAAGAGAGAGACAAATAGACTGGGAAAGATAAACAGAACCCAGGGATTTGTGGAACAATAACAATCTAACGATCTATTATTTGTATCATTGGAATCTCAGGAGAGGGGGAAGAGTGTGCGACTGAGACAATATTCGAAGAAATAGTGCTAGAAAACTTCCCAAATCCGGGAATGGGTATCACACACACATACTGAACCTTCTGCAATTAGAGTTAATATGGTATCACTGCACATAAAACGTAGAAAACTTGCAATCGTATAGCTCCTTCAGCCTCTGTCCTTATGCTGTAGTTATCATGTTGTATTTCCATACATTATACGTCTCCTAAGACAATGTTATAATTTTTTGCTTGAAACAGTCCTACGTATTTTTAAAAACTGAAGTAAAAACAATATTTTATATTTATTTATATACTTGCCATTTCAGATTTTCTGTATTGCTTTTTAAAGATTTGCATTTCCATCTAGTATCGTTTCCCTTTAGCATTTGCCTCAATGAGCATAGTTACGATAGTTAAAATCCAGTTAAAATCCATGCTTGGTAATTCCAACATCTTGGTCACCTTGGAGTCAGTCTTGGTTGTCTTTTCTCTGAACCTCGGCCGTATTATTCTGATTCTCTGCATAATTCGGATGGAATCCTGAATATTGTGAATACTACCTGGTGGAGACTCTGGATGTGGTATATTCCTCTAGAGAGTGTTGTTTCTCTAGAGATGTTTTTGTCTTGGGCAACTAATTTGGTTGGATTCAAACTGCAAATTCTCTTGGGCGGCGGATTAAACCTTGGTTCAGTTCTTTCACCTTTGGCTGCTTTGTGTTCACTCTGCCCCATGCGCGTGTGTGTGGTTCAGTGGTCAGTCAACGACACAGGCAGGGTTAAACACAGAACTTGGGCTCCCCCTCTTGGAACCTCTCCTGAGATTTTCCCTCTTTCCACTGGCTGTGGTTGTCCAAACTGTGTGCTGGCTCTTCAGGCCACAAAGAATGGATTTTTTCAGCCAGGCTGCCTGATACTTTGTTCTGCCCTCAAGACAAAAAAACTGTAAAAAATAGGAAATCACCTCCAGGTGGTCCCTTCTCCCAAATTTTAAATCCCTTCAGAATCTGCCTGCTTTTGTTCAGTCTCCAGTATTGTTTTTGATTTTGTCCAGAACCTACTTATCCAGTTGTCCAGGATCCAGGCTGGGTTCAGAGTTTACTCCAGAATGGAGGTGGAAACCTCCTAGAGGTTTTACTGGGAAATTATTTAAACTCAAAATTAAGTTTGGAAGAATGCCATTGTTAAACATCCATCCTTTTCAAACAAGATCCTGTTTTCTGTCCATCTGGTTTTTTGATGCTTGTCAGTAAAATTTTCTTCATATAAATCCTGCACATTTATTAGATAAATATCTGAACTTATCATTGAAATCTGTTGTGTTTAATTGGCCTGTATTTCCTCGTAATTTATTTGCTACTTTTTAGCAATGGGAATTTCTGGAGGCCTGATTTGCAATGGATCTTTTCCCTACTTCTTGCTCAATTAATTTGCAGTGGGCTTCTGCAGGCACAGCTTGTGTAGTTCACATGGGGTCGCTAAGATCATCAATGGCCCAGTCCAGGTCCTGGTCAGCCCGGTAGTCATTGCCCGGTTAAGATCACTGATCTGAAGTTGGTTCTAAGTCTGTCTCTTCAGTGTAGAGTTCCAGCATATCTAAGACTATGAAATAAGCTCTGTCCTTGATGGTAATTTCATATGCTGTTAACTCCCACAGCCCTGCATGGACAATTGAGTGAGAGAATGCAAAGGGGCTCAAGCCATCTTCCAAGCTGTCTTTTGTTTTTTAGCAGATTGAACCAGCCCTGCATGGAATTCTCCACAAACATGCAGAAAAACTTTAAGATTGAGGTTTTCTTTTCTTTGGGGAAATAATATAGTTACCTGAACTAAATTTGGGGGGGGGAAAAAAAGGGAGTTAAAATAAAACTAGAAATAAAAAAATAATAGTACATTATTATACTTTTAAAATTGCCTTCTTTTAAAAAATTAACAGATATTAGGATCAAGATTAGAAAAATTTAAATCAACTTCTTTAAAGACATGCAAACTTCTTCTGTTCTTAAATGTTACTTTTTATATTCTGAATCCCCATAGCTTTCCATGAAAATACATTTAAAGTTATACAAGTGATTGGCACATCTCTAGCATCCAACAGGAGCTTGATACTTGTTAAACAGAGTTACAAAAACAAAATATTATTTTCCATAAAGGAGATTTCATTTAAGAAAACAAGTACCTTCAATCATACATTGAATAGCAATACCTGAGAAAATTATTCATTACAGACACAATACATTATTCTATTGTACTGCGTAATCCTCTCCTAAAAACAGTTTCCCCAAAGAAGTTACAAGAGACCAAGAGCATACTAAAAATACTTTATTGTCTTTACTAAATGCATTAAATATACATTCTAAGTGGAATATACTGTCCATTCAATGAAATACATACAGCAGTCATTAAGGGAAAAAAAAAAACAGCCATAGAATGGAAAGGTGACACAAATAAAAAGTTCTCAAATATTGGAATAACTTTACAACGTACCATAGATGTTCCACAACCTTTCTATTGAAGAAAAGGGGACAAAACATGATCCACAGTCTGAGGAGATTAAATACAGCTATTCTACAAAAGGAGAAAATATCAGCATCCTGGGAGAATTTTTATTCCTGGCCCATTTTCTGCCCACTGGAAAAAACTGCACTGTTTTTCCTTCCCGAGAGGACACACAAAAAAATTCCTTCCATTATTAGGTCCGATCTTCAGCACTGTTCTCATGATGGAGCGTTTGCCGTGGTCGCAGAATGGGAAGGACAAATCTGCCCACTGTGGGGGGAAAACGGGAAGATTGTAAGGTTTAGATGGAGGTTAGAATGACGTGCAGGCTAAACCTGGATGTGTCTGATTGGTGACATATTGTCTTCCCTGCTGTTACTATTAATCTGACATTGTAAATAGACATAAATCATTAGTTGTGGCCCTTATAAAAGGTTATATCCTGTAAGAAGCATCTCTTACAAATTCATTTGAACCACACAGCAAATCGCCCTAAGTCTGAGCTTCTCTTTGTCTAAAGGTGTATTTTCAGAAGTTTCTTCACTTTATTGAGAACAATTGAAAACTATCAAAATCTTGTGTAAAGTGCTCACCAATGTTCCTGCAATAGATCTGTTTTAGTTAAAACTATGAAGATCAAAGATTTGTCATGTTTCTAACAGTAAACTTCCTTAGTCTCTTAGGAAGAGAAAAAACCCAATATAGAATTACTTGGACTAATTTAGGCAGATTCCACTGTATTATTCTCATTCTTATTAATTTTGTCCTCAAGAGAGGTATAAGGCAGGCTGCGACATTATTAACATTGCTAATGATATTTTCTCCATTGCATCTATAAGCTTCTTGAGGAGGAAACATGTCAGTTTAGCAGGATGGAGTCACGTAATGTGCAGAGGTGACAATCTCAACTCATTATCAGTTTCCCTGGTAAATTCCTTAAG